TCAGCCTCTAACGAAAGTTCTACCACTTACCTCACATGCTCTAACAGAGCTTCATCATTCAGCCTCTAACGAAAGTTCTACCACTTACCTCACATGCTCTAACAGAGCTTCATCATTCAGCCTCTAACGAAAGTTCTACCACTTACCCCACAAGCTCTAACAGAGCTTCATCATTCAGCCTCTAACGAAAGTTCTACCACTTACCTCACAAGCTCTAACAGAGCTTCATCATTCAGCCTCTAACGAAAGTTCTACCACTTACCTCACATGCTCTAACAGTGCTTCATCATTCAGCCTCTAACACAAAACGACTGTGTTGCAGCGTACCGAGCTATCCCGCTGTGTCTTCATACAACGAGAATGATTTGTACAACTTATCCCAATGGTAATTCGGGTTGGATAATATAGATTGCTAACCTCTTCTATCATAAAGTTGCTGACACTGCGAGAATTAATTTTGCCCAGTAGCGACCTTAACTTCGATCGGCGAATTTTCTGCAGTAAAATAACATTGACAAGGAACAAAGGTGACAGTTGAGGAACGCAAAGCCTACTGCAGAGTCTGTTAACGTTCTTAATTACCACATGTAAGTATGCAAGTCAGGTATAAATCAACCCACGGTGTGTTAGCGGGCAGTTTACGGACTTACAACGCTAAAATCCGGGGTTCGATTCCCCCGCGGTGGACAGAGCGCACATTGTTTAGCTTTGCGCTCAAACAAGACAAATAAAAAACAGCGCCATCTATGCAGTTTTGTGTAGAAACTGTTTATAGTCACTTTTATTTTTCTTTTACAATAATTAAATAAATAGATATTTCTTTATAGATAGTACTAGCAGATGCTCGTTGAAACAATTCAACAGTAATTTTCCTAAAAATAATAATGAATATATATAAAATGTGCAGTCAACCCAATCCCTTGAATCAGAGCGTATTGTTTGTTTGTTTGTTTGTTTTGGAATATCGCGCAAAGCTACACGACGCTAGCCGTCCCTAATTTAGCAGTGTAAGACTAGAGGGAAGGCAGCTAGTCATCACCACCCACCGCCAACTCTTGGGCTACTCTTTTAACAACGAATAGTGGGATTGACCGTCATATTATAACGCCCCCACGGCTGAAAGGGCGAGCATGTTTGGTGTGACGGGGATTCGAACCCGCGACCCTCAGATTGTGAGTCGAGCGCCTTATCCACCTGGCCATGATCAGAGCGTATATGCCAAATGTTTGTCTGGTGGACCGTTTACAACCGCCTTTTATTATTCCATGTGTTATTTCAAAAAGGAAATTGCATTGTGTTTGTTTTCAAGCAAAGGAGACTGACTGCATTACATTATTGGCAAAAATGCTTGGGTTTCGATTCAATGGATGCCACTGTTCTTTGTCATTTTACTGATCGCAAAGAAAAGATGGATAACTTTTTGACAGTTCTCATTTCTATAAGAAGTGTAAAACAGGAGATATTCAATTCAAATAAATTTATTCGACATGGTACAATAAAATCATGCATTTATAAATAATAATGACATGAGTATATATATATATATGAATTGAATAACAACAAACATATTCTCAAATATGTTCTTTTCTTTATACGTTTTTCCGTCCATGCTTCTATATTCGAAATATTTCTTTTCGTTGCTTGGTTTGAATTTCGCGCAAAGCTACACAAGGGCTATCTGCGCTAGCCGTCCCTAATTTAGCAGTGAAAGACTAGAGGGAAGGCAGCTAGTCATCACCATCCACACTAAGACTGTTTG